AGCCATGAATTAACTAAATATTAGCTTGAGTGATCATTGTGTCTTAGTAGGCACATGCTTCTGTTTGTTTGGGCTGCTCGAAAACTTTTCATCCCACAGCTCTCTGAGAAATCAGCTGTCTTGACAGTGTTAATCCTCCTTTCTTTAGAAGCAGTGATCCATCACAATGCACATCACACCTGACTTAAAGCGCTTGCCTAATAATTCTTAGCATCCAAATAGATATTGATCCTGCAACAGACTGAATTGTTAGAGGAAAGATGATTGGGTGTTAACTCTGGCACAGAATCCTCCCCAGCGGTGTCAGACCTGTCCCTGCTCAGTAACAAATAAGAATGAAGGTTTTCAGAACAGTAATGAGACTTTCTTTACTTTCTTTTATTGCTACAATATTTTGGAAGGCACTGACACTCCGTCAACACACACATGGAAAGCGATCATTTATAGCCGTCATTAAATCACACATGTCCGTACAAAAATCTGTGAATCCCAAACAATTATTCAGTTCTAAGGAATCACATTCAATGTAGCTACAACTACTCTGTATTTTACACCCACTACGTAATCCATACATACTGAATCAAAGAAGAAATAAGAACTACAGGGAGAAGGAAATAAACTCAATGACAGGTTTCCAGAAAAGACTGAGGCACAGTGAGGAAAATATATAAGATTCACACACCCAGATAATACATGTTAACCCCAGGCTTTAAAGGAAAATAATTTTTCCTGACTATAAGTTCACTTGATATCTGCAAGATACTGTAGTGCAACTAGATTATATGACACTTATTTCTGTTAGCAGGAGACATGGAGCATGTAGGGGTTCCAACACTGAAGTAAGCAGACATATCAAAGCACGGATTAACCGAAATTACAAAGCTATAATTTTCACTCAATTTTTAAGTAAAAATACTTCTTAAAATTTCCCTGTAAGTAAAAGCTTCATTTCATCATATTTTTTATTAAATTCCTCACATAAAAATGGAAAATATCACATAAACTTTTAAACACAACTTGTTGTAGCTTTTCCTTAAAATATTTCCATACAAGTGCCTTTTAAAGAATTTAAACTGAAAAAAAAAGAATTTAAACAAGGAGGAGGAGGAGATCTCCCAAGACAGAGGAAATAAAATGTACTGTTCTCTAGAGACAAGGAGAAACTGGATTAACAGAATTAAGCAGGAAAGGGGATGGAAGAGAAGAAGAAAGTAGGGAATGTGTGGAGGAATGACTAATGAAAGAACATTTTACACCCATATGGAAACCTACCAGTGTAGAAGCTTCCTAAAATGCATCACATATGAAAGCAATCTGAACGGTGTCACCAAATAATAAGAAAGAGAATGTTCAACTGGAGATCTTGTGCTGTCAAGTAAAACCCTCAGGGCTAGGATTGGTTCCATCTTTGGGGGGACCTCCGGAAACTGCCAAATGTCACAGGCTATTTCCAAGGCTACTGGTTACTCTCCACAACCTGATGATGGGGCCCTGTTGCTGGAAGAAAACATTTCAATGTGTTATCAAAAACCTAGAATTCAAACTGGGGCCTAACTAGAAGCTCCAGCCCTATGGACTAGTTTTCAGGACATTGGGAGATACTTTGTGGACTGCTAGGGAAAAAATAAAGTAGCAATCAGTATCTCCTAGCTACAAACAGTGGAATCTGTAACAGAAACTTGTCTGCAAGATATATTGGTGTCATTGTGGCACAAATATTAGGGGAGTAACCAAACACTTTCCAACTGGTTTTAAGGCACATGGTGCTGTGGGAACTCCTTCAGCCAATGGCCTTTATGATGCTGGCCCACTTTGGGCATAGTCTCGGCTACTATATATGCAGATGTAGGGGCGTGTGCGAGCCCCTTGGCTGCTGAATTCAGTTCCAGATCATTAAATGCAACCCATCTCTGACACTGATAAAATGGTCATGAACCTGAGATTACATAGGTCATGGTCCTAGGGGAAAATCTACTACTATTATTCTGACAAAGGAACATAGCAATAAAAAGACTCCTAATGACATACTGATGTACCAACAGACCAGGGCCTCACTCAGACCTCATCAGAGAAGCTCCATCTTGCAATAGATTTAAACAAAAACAGAGACACACAACTGGACAATGTGCGAAGAATGAGAGACTTTGGAGCACTCAGTCCTAAGGGGTGATCTTCATCAGAGCACTCCCATCAAGGCTTAGAAATCCATACAGCAGAGACCGTAAGAGTCAGAGAGGATTGATGACTCCATGAAAGCAGAGCCTTCCAGATAGGACAGGTCTGATACACACATGAGCTCAGGCAACACAAGCAAGGCTTGTGCAGGTTCAAGCCTGATGATGTCCATGCCCTGAGAAGAGAAGTAGACACGGGCTCCCATCCCTAACCAAGAAGCTATCTGCAATTAATACTTGATGGGAAAAGAAAAATCAGTTTTCTCCAATGATGTCTCACTGGGTATATGAGCCACACTTCAGGGAAGCCCCAGTCCCCAGAAGTAAATTGACAACAGACAACTAACTTAAAGGTATTTTGCAGGCATTTTGTCTTACTTAGTTTTAGTTGGGTTTTTTGGGGGGTTTTTTTTTTGTTTTGTTTTGTTTTGTGTTTTTCTTTTCATCTAGGTCTTTTGTTTGTTTATTTTGACCATATTACAGTTTGGGTTTTTGGGGGGGTGGAGGATCTTATTTTCATTGTTGTTTTGATCATTTGGTTGTTTGCTTTAAAAAGAAAGAACATAAAGTTGAGGGACTGGAGAGGTAGGGAGAATATTGGAAGAATTGAGGGAGGGGGAAAAACAAGGAAAAGAGAATTTAAATATCTAAGGATAAACATATGCAAGAGAGATAAAATATAAAATTTAAGAATTTTTTAGTGTGTGTGTGTGTGTGTGTGTGTGTGTGTGTGTGTGTGTGTGTGTAATCCTTTAAAATCATTTGCTCAGCTTGGTTTGGTTCGCTGGCACAAACTTGTGATCATGGCCACTCAGAGGGCGTTGTTAGTTCAAGGATCACCTAGACAGTCTTAATGGGGCACTGTTCCAATTTTTAAAAAAGAAAATGACAAGAAACAAATGAAAAGCATGAGGTTTAGGGGAAACACGATGCTCTCAAGCCATCCCCAGCACTAAACAAAAATTGCTCCATTGTTGTGTCAATGTGAGAAAGAATGCTTGAGAGCAGATCTGTAGACACAAATTATGACACAACTGCGTTATTCCACATTAAAATTTGGAACTGAAATCTAGATCACCTAAACAGATAAGCCATTTATTTTAGAAAATCAGGATGTTATTAGCCTGGGACCCTGAATGAGTGAGTGTGTGTGTGTGTGTGTGTGTGTGTATACGCATGCAACATCTATTCAAAAGTGATTTTTAATTCTCATCCTAATTTTTAAGGGGAAATAGAAATTACAATGAGATTAATACATAATAAAACATGATCAGAATAAACAATTCCTTTCTTTTTCTTAAAATAGAGAGTATGCACCACAGGTCCCACTTTCTCGTCCTGAAACTAAAGCACATTGTAACTCACTGCACAGCTCCTGAGTCAGCCTCACACACTGACAAACAGAGTGGATTTGGAAGGGAAAAGAACACAGAACCACACTGCCAAACTGGCACGGATGCTTCCTGTCTGTAAAGCATCAACCGAGAAGTTGTTTCAACTTCCACTGTGTTTCTTCTACGGCCAATGAAATTACACTACAACATATATAAGAGCTGAGAGTCTGGGCCATTGTCCTTCATCTTCAATTGCTCGGAAACAACCTCCTGGACAGCAGACTAATCAGCTAGGAAGAAAATTCTCCAAGGTAGGCGCCTGGAACTAAGCCCTTTAACATGACATTAAATTTTGCCCAGCTACAGAGATAACAATATAATGTGCTGCTTCTAGGATCTTCTTTTCTTATCACTGCAAGAATAAGTGCCTGCAAGAAATCGTAAGTCATAAATAGTATTATATTTTGAAAATTTTTGCAAGTAACAGGAAATTATTCATGTTGATCCCTTGGAACAGCGAGTCCACCAAAGTCCACAATTCCCTCCCTTGTCTCTGTACCTTATGGCTCTTTGTCATTCACGATGGTCTACTCTCATATGTACTCTGAAACAGAATGACATAACATATATATTTCCAATTAATTTAGTTGTTTTTTAAGCTTCACATAAAATGTATGTTAAGAAAAACCAAAGTGTCGCATATGCTCATAATATCTTGTGAAAATTTGTTCCTAAGTTGCTTTCAAGGTTTCAAGGTTCGGCTGCCATATTTACACTATTAACAGAGTTGACTGTGGGAGTTGACGGGTCCCTGTGTGTAGTGGTATGAAGGCAGAACTCAAATAAACTGGCTCTGGATATTTATAACAAACTATAAGAATTAAAAATAAAATAGAGTTAAAGAATGAACTTTCTTCTGTTCTACATATTGATGGAACATAGTCAGATGTTAGAAAGCAGATTTGAAACATTCATTAAGGACAAGATGACTTTGCAGAGTGGTAAAGCTAGTCTGTATATTAAGTGATGCTTTGATATTTGGTAGCATCTAACAGAAAGACTTCTTCCTTATCTACTAGGTGAAATAAGAAATTAAATATGATCAAGTTAAAGTGGTAATGTATCAAACACAAGTCTATAGAAGCCTGTAATTATAAAACAAAACGTGTAAATAAAAATGTTCATTTCTATATCATTACTGCTAAGGCAAAAGCTTTACTTTGGGAAGCTTCTGTTGTTCAGAGTCTTCATTAAGAAATTTCTGGATTCTCTCCAGCATCAGCTCACAAGGCAAATGTGAAAATTAGCTGCATTATGACACAGTCAAAGGTTATGAGCTGACCATACTACTGCACTAATACTGAGCCCAAGATAAGGGTAGGAAGATATATTGCGCATACACCATATTTGAGATAATTCACAAATAATGTCATTTTGTTTTTAGAAGTAACGCTAATCAGCCATTGTGCTTACTTTCAGGAGCTGCCAAAAGATGAAGTCTCTGTATTTGTTCTTGGGCCTTTGGGTTCTTGGAGCATGTTTCCTGGTAAGTATCTTTAATTCCACCATGTATCTTCATATTCTCATTTTAACTCTCTTACTTTTAAATTCCGGTTTAATTTGGTAGTCACTTAAGCCTGCCATATTGGATGCTCAGATTGATAACCTTATACAGATTTATTACAGATAAATCCCATGTGTTCCCATACTCCAGAAACTGCACAGGTAGCTCTCCTTGGCCAACTCTTAAAGCTGACCTTCAACATATTCATGTCCTCAGAATACAAGAGAAAACTGAGCTATTATTTCAAGACTCACATTTGGATTACCTAAACAGTCATTTCCTAATAAAACCAATTTAGGGGGCTGGAGAGATGGCTCAGCGGTTAAGAGCATTGCCTGCTCTTCCAAAGGTCCTGAGTTCAATTCCCAGCAACCACATGGTGGCTCACAACCATCTGTAATGAGGTCTGGTGCCCTCTTCTGGCCTTCAGGCATACACGCAGAAAGAATATTGTATACACAATGAATAAATAAATAAAAAATAATAATTAAAAAAAAACAATTTAGCTACAGTTCCAATCCTACCGGCAGTTTAGTGCAATAGCATGCATTTGATAAGTCCATGAGTTACATAAAAATGAAGATTTTTAATAATTGCTGCCCTCAATTAGAAAGGTATAATCTTTTCATAAGAGCAGAGAAACAGCCAAACATCTTATTTATTACTTGTACTTTTCAGTTGTTTGTGTATATTACCTCATTTAACACTCAAAGATAATGTGGCAAAGGGCTGGGATTAACCAGATTAAGCTATGAACTTATAGCCAAGGGATCTGTGTTTTCCCTATATTGTTCTTGAACCATCAATGAAAGAAATTATCTCCAAGTCCAGGGTCCATAACAGTATAGTTTTTCTTCCTAGGACAATCTTTTCATCACTTTTAAACCCTCTAACTTAAAACACAAATGAAATTGGAGCTAACCATTGTGAGTGGATTAAAACATTAGGAAAATGACAGATATGTCCAAGAAAGTTTATCACTACATAATATTCATATTGATATCAGGATGTCCTGAGGAGACACAGGAATTTTCTTTAATTGCATCAACTATAAAAATAATGTGTTGTATTTTCACACACTTAGAATGTATTCCTTGGCAATTAAAAGTGAAATCCTGAACTTGCTCCCAGACTGACCAGCCTATGAAATGGAACCCCGTGTAATCTAATGTCTGCCATGATTCAATGAACTGCAAAAAGCACAGAGAGCAGTGATCGCATAGATGTGTCTTAAGACATTATATTTCATAAAATTTATAAAAAGAGTTATACTGGCATGTTGGGGCAGGAGCCAAACAGAAACATGAGGGGGGGGGACAAAGGGAGTGAATTTGGCCAATCTGACTGTCCTTTAGTACAGAGTTGCATTGAACTAAGGAGGTAAGAGTAAAAGTCAACAGTGTAGATGCTTTAGCACAAGCTTTTCAAGGTAGAGAATGATGTGAGGCAATGTTCGTTTTCTGTAGAATGTCTTTAACCTCTGCACACTTTAGTTAAGGGAGACCAAAAAATAGAATGATGTGTTCGCATGAGAAGCTTAAAATGATACAGAAGAGATGAGAGATGTTGAGAACTGAGCAAACAAAATCCAGGGGACAGGTACAAAGCTATGAGGAGGTTATTAGACGATTGGAAATAGGTGGTGGTCGTTTTCTCAATGAACTCTGCTAATTAAATGAAGTGACATACCATAACAGTCAGTAAAAGAAAAGAGACCAAGTCCCTGGGAAAACAATGAGAAAGTTGTTCTCTCATGCCATTAGTGACTTTAATGGCTGCATAGCCTAGACAGGGAAGGGAGTTCATTTTTACCTGCTGCAGTCTCTTGGGGAAGTAAGAGGCACTGCATCTCCAGGAAATATGGAGACTCAGGATGAGGTAGAAAACTGAGAAAGAGGAAGCGGGTGTCAACTTGAATAGTATAAGCCTCTAGAAAGCTAGAGAGGACAGACCAAAGAAACTCGAGGATGACAAGGCAATGCTGGAGATCATGAATCTCTGCCATACACTGTCTATGACATCATCTTACATTGTTCATGAAACTGAACTTTAGGAGACAGTTTCTTGGGGTATGCCTAAAATTTAGGATAGTGAGGGCAGTGTGTCAGATGAACAAATTAGAGTAAGACCTGAACAGATACGCAAATGAATCTGTAACCCCAGCAAACCATCAACTCTAAGCAATCTTGACTTAGAATCAGCACCGTGGAACTAGGAGCACACACTTACCCTCTGGTTGGTATGGCTCTTGAGTTTCATAGTCTTCTGACCTCACTCCATGACTGCCTTGACAGTGAAGCAATTCTTAACCTTTCATCTACCTAAAACTTAAGCACGCCAACTTCTTAATGCATTTGTTTCCTGTGATACTTCTCAGCTATTTTTATGGTTCATGATGTTATACTTTATGAAAACATTGCTAAACTGGGTTCTATCATAGCAAATAATAGCGCAGACTTTTCAAAACTTGCTGTACCAAGGCAAGCACTGCCTAGACATTCTCTTTAATTGCTATATAAAATTGCTCACAGTAAATTACTTTATGAAAAGGGCCTTAGACATGACTAACAACATCGCACAATTGATCTGGCAGACGCTAGAATGTGGAAATATTTAAGAATGTCATTTTCCAAAGGTGGAAGCAGAGTTGTTGTTTCAAACCGGCTATAGAGTAACACAGTCTGTAGATGACAGAGGCGGAACTTCAACCACAGCTTTTACACTACAGAGACTACTAGTCTTCTTCCCTTTGGCCTTCTTTGACCACCTTGTAGCTACCCATTCTATAGAGTCACATTAAACATATCTGTACCTTCCACCGATGCTAAACTAACAAATGCCGAAAAGTACAAACTCTATAACATGTTTTACAGATTATTGAAATTAAAACCTCAAGCAACCCTAAATCCTTTATCAAACAGATATTTGCCAAAATTATAGGGCAACTACTTTCATTTGGGATTGATTTCAGCAGCCAGGTCTACTAACATCAAAGCTTAAGTATTTTGTTCATGGTATTTTCTTTCCCTTCATTAACATCTAATCTTTCCTCAAGGACCTGTATGCGCAGAACAAAGAGGGACACGTTTTATTTGATTGACTTGCAGAATTTTTGACTTAGAAACACTCAATTGTTGTGTAATAAATAACCACCAACTACACTTTAAAAACCTGTTTGTCATAGCATTGTCTACACATAGCTCAGTTGTGTTCTCTTCTCAAGTGCCACACCAGGCAGGAGAGAAGCCCTGAATGTGCCCCATTCTTCATCGCAAGGTCTCCTTCTCACAGTTCAGAGCATGCTGTCCCTTTACTGCAGTCTTGAATGGGCTCGACTTTGTTTATTAATGTTTTTATTAACATAAAGTAACCAGGTCTTCTTGCGGGATGTTCATATTCTATTTGGATGGATTTTCCCCACCCCACACATGTCTCCACCACATAGCTCCCTATTCCCCCTTTCTCACACTGGACTCTTTTTATCAATATTAATCCTACTTTTTCATATAATAAAATATGAAAATTTCATAAAAATGAATGGAGCTAGAAAATGTAGGAAAAAAAACAGGAACCCATGCTCAGAAAAAACAAATACCATTTATCCTTTCTTAGATCCTAGCCTCTAACTCTTAAATACATGTACTGGAGCCCGGGGAAATATGGATACAGACCAGGACCTAAAAAACGGCCATGAGATGATTTCACTGCTCTCTTGCTGGCCATGAGCCAGAGGCCTCTCTGATCTATTATAGCCTAATTCCCATATGATTTTTGCCAGTACAGAGAACCTTTATTATAAATCAATTTGCCTCTGCCTCCAGCATTATAGAACTTGTTTTAGAAGAACATAGCTGATAAAATCAGGCAGCAAACGTCTTTGGAGAGTAGGACTTTTCGGAGCCATGTTAAAAATTCTACCCGCCACAGAAAGTGTACTTGCTGATAACTCTCTGAAATACCTAGTTTAAAACTGCTTGATTCCTTTCTCCCACAGACTGGTGAGTGTCACAGAGGCCATAGAGGACGATTTGATCCTAGAGGACCACCACCTCCTCCTCCCTTCGGCCCAGGATTTGCCCGACCACCCCCTCCTCCTCCCTTTGGTCCAGGAGCTGCCGGACCACCCCCTCCTCCTCCCTTTGGTCCAGGAGCTGCCGGACCACCCCCTCCTCCTCCCTTTGGTCCAGGAGCTGCCAGACCACCCCCTCCTCCTCCCTTTGGTCCAGGAGCTGCCCGACCACCCCCTCCTCCCCCCTCTGGTCCTAATCCACCTTCTGTAACAAGCCCTCCACAAACCGCAACTCCAATTGGTACTACTATCACTGTAACTCCTCTCCCAGTACCAGAAAATACATCTAGTGCCAATATCTCCCTACCTACTCCTATTGCCTAAAATTTCACTAATGATTTACTGAATTTGTGGCAAAGATTAAATGCCCTCTGGCAGTTAGGCTGAGATACCCCAAAGCACTGTAAAATTCTGGGATAAATAATCTTTAAAGGCTTAAGTCATAACCCCTTCCCAAGCATTATACAGAATGAAAATAAAGAGCTGAGCAACTTTACAAAGCATTTATTGTTGACATCAGAGCAATTACCATACGATATAAGGTGTTACTTTGTGGTGGCTTAGATTAATGCAGACAAATTGTAATAAATATATAAACAACTTTAATGGAAAAATCAGACTCACAAAACCAAGGTTCCCGCAGAGCACAGGAAACAGGAAGGGGCGAGCAGGCTTCTGGGCGCCCAATTTATATGTAAACACTCACCCGAGGCAAGTCCGCCCCCATAGGCTGGCTTAACCCTACATCTCCCCTTTTTGTCTAAATAAGACAGAACTAAACCAAATACAACTATAAACAATAATAACAAATAATAAATATAACAAACAATATTGAGAACAAAAGTTTTGCCAGACATTCTATCTCAAGGAGTCTAAATAATGTAGAGAGTAATTACAATTATATAATCTTCAACTCCGTCAAAGATCTGAGAAGGGAATAAATATTACTTAACAAATGAGAGATATCCAAAATGTGCCACAAATGACAGAGACAACAGACTACCTGGGCAATCACCCAAATTCTCGTTCGCAATGTTGAGTCAACCAACTTTGGCTAAGGCCTAGCATAACTGACATACCATTAACAAATGCAAGGAATTTTCTTAGAATTATCCTACCCTGTCTTGGCAAGATAAGA